CGGACTCAAAATTTCTCCGCTCACTCCACAGTCGCAACAACAATAAGTCAGAGACAACATTCAGTTCCCTCTTCTCCCTGTTGCTCGAAGTCAATCATTGCCACAAATATGAACACTTCTTCTCCATCCTTTCGCAGGGCCGGGACGACTCGTTCCTCACCCGGCATTCAGAACCCACGCGTTGGTGAGCCGCGATATCACCAAACTATGTCATTTGGGAATCAAGCTAGCGAGGCTCTCACACGCGGCAATTCTGTTGCTGTCCTCAACACTGCACCGCAGACGGAAATGGCAATGGCGTACTGTTCAGGCGACGGTGACAGTGTCCCTAGACATGCACTACAGGAAAAAACGGGTCGGTTTCCTTTAAACAGCTGCAACGCTGGGACATCCTCGGGTAACGTATCCTGTATTGCCACTCCGCAGATCCACCGATCAAATCGACTCAACACTAATAAAGATTACGCATCACTTCGGAGAGCCAGCAAAACCGCGAGCAGGTCAATCCAACTCTCACAGTCACCCAGCGTTAATTCCGCATCTACTGAGGGCGATCGCTCGGATGCAGAGGCAAAACAGAGGGTTCCAGAGCTTTCAGGGGGTGAAAGTGCTCCCACTTCCGTCTCTGAAGCCAGAGAAATCAACGTGCGATCGTTGCGGCAACCACAGAAACCGCTTTCGCGATCTTACTGTCAGGAGGGAAGAGTTTATGGCAGAAGTTTGGACCACGAGGACGTGCGAGGCTGCCAAACACCCCAGTGTACTCCCAAGTCATCTAAATTGCGTTTACAAAGAACGTCTAGTATGCAGCCGCAGCCAGAGGGGAGGGCATCTTTCAACAGCCTTGGAAACCAACAGGAGAACACGCAGAGTGCTAACTCCGGAACCCTGAGTTTACGACGCAAATCCTCTACAACGACCGGCAACGAACGTTCAACTAAATCGTCTGCGGTTGACGGTTCGAGGAACTCTGTTGTTTTGGGCAAGAGTACCAGCGGTAGCAGTCTTGCATCAAAGTCAGACAGTAGTCGAAGAACTTCGTTGGATTCACAGATCTCAGCATCTTCTAGTTGCAACTCCTCCCCGTTGACACCAAGGGCTAGTTGGGGCGCCAATGACGGTTCGACCTGCACTATGCAAGGCCGATTGGGCGCACAGGCAAGGTGTCCTACTAAGAACAGTCGATTACAGTCGCGTCCGGGGGGTAGTGGGCTTAAAATGCAGACTTCTACATCCATCTCCCCCGACAGGCCAGGCGAACGGACAGCTAAGAAGGCAAATAGACCAACGAACCTCAATGTGTTTAACTCAGCTGGTGTACAGTCTAAACGGGTCGCCCCTGGGGAAGCAAATATGAGTTCCAACAATCAAAAATTGTGGGATCTGTCGGGTGAATCTCAAAGGCTAACTCGTCTCAGCTCTCTTCCTGTTGAGTAAGTATTGCTATGTTAAACTGCGAAATTTGATCTACTTTATGCATGTTTTGAAAGTCGCATTCCTCAGAAGTCGAAGATATGGCACTTGGTAACCTGTCTTTTCAATTTTTTGCCCACAAACTCATCATCTGATGCTGTTGCCGTGCAGCCAGGTGCCTGATCTAATTATCAGATCCGCATTCATCACCAGGGGACGCGATGGTTGTTTGTTAGTCTACGGCCGGGTCATTAATTCTCCAACAGTTTTTGATTCTCGGCATGATGATGACTCGGCTGTATTTTTGGCTGTCACTGGAATCTTTGGCAGCCTGCGGCCTGCCTACGTTGCTAATCGCTCTGCGTAGGCAAGCTCTCACGACAGATTTTGACGTCAGGAGGTTTTTGCGCTTATTAATCGACTGCGAACCAAAGAACCAAAGCTCAGATAGTTTACGCCTCATGCACTTCTCTGTCCATACGAGAAATTTGGCTTCTTCAAACGTAAAGATGTAGATGGATACAAAACTTGAGACGCAACACAAGAGTTAGTGGCACTCTGCCTTGCTTTAGGTTCCCCATTGCTTTCCATTAAATTTAAGTATCATTTATTGCCGGTTAGGAAAGTTTGACCGTCGCTCCCGACGATGTCCTCCACGACCCTCAGCAGGCTGAAGCAACGCGTGCCTTCCACGGGAATATACTGAATGTAGGCTTGCGGAGAATCTGCCCCAAAATCCAACCACGCCCACACCGGTATGCAGTGTCAAGACAGAGTCGAGAAACTGGAGATGAGGGAGAGTGCAGACGGTTGACGCGACCAACACATAACACGCGTACCAACAGCACACCTCGCTACGTAGACTCCCGCCTGGGAGCGCCATAAAGGCCACATTTAGAAAAATCCACTAAACCTGACTCCTGCACAATTACACTCAGCACACAAACTGAGTCTATTGGGGTGTTCAAGATATCCTGCAAGTTTTCAACCCTCCAATTCACGGCTTTTAAGGCCCAGTGATACTCTTAAGCGCATCAGATTGATTTTAGTGAGGAAAGAAATGCGCCGAGGGTCGACCTCACACTCTTCCCTACTGCCAGTAACAGGCTGCCGCCTAGCCTATCGGTCACCTGAGGTGGTAGGGGGCGCAGTTAATTACTGTAATAAAAAAGTACTAGGAAAAGATGTCACCGTAATTTCACAAACGTCCTCAAAACTACATTTAAAATGCAATGACGTTTAACTTACTGGAACTAATTCGTTGAGAAACCAAATATGGAACGGCATAACTCTTTGGGATTTCATTTTGGATTAAATGGACCTTAACTACATAAACTATAATAGTGAACATTGGGTTTATTCTTCATTAAAATACGGAAAATGCATTTCTTCGTGTGCATTTTCTTACTTTAAATGATACATAAATGCTTGGACTGCTGAATTTCCCTTAGACTAGCTATGATTGTATAAAAAATAGGTTACCTTAAATAGACTGTACCAAAGGACTCCATATTTCCGAATATTCACGCGACATCAATTATGTTAAATTAAGAGAAGATAGGCGATGATTCTTAGTATGTTACCTTATCCTGTGTTCTTTGTAATTTATAGCTAAGGAAAACAGAATTGCGTGAAATACAATAAATGAACATTCACCGAGCAACAGTTTAACATTTTATTTAATATTTAATTGACATGTGCATGTATTTTCCAGATCCTTTTGAATTTACTATGAGACGCTATTTTCGATATTTTTTAAACACGAGGTCAAATCCATTGCTCCGTATTGCATAAGTTAAATTATGTTTTCAAGGCTAACATCTTATTCCTCTGAAACACGTACCATATGAAACACGTTGGAACAATCCGTAGAAAACGACAAAGTCTGATATCGTAGCTGCTTCCAAAAGTTTTATTTTAAAAGGAGCAAACAAACTGGGAATTCTTTTGTTAACTGAGCCTAACTTTTTTATTTTTCACAGCCTGGTGGGTTCCCAAACAATTCTGTGCAATTAAATGCAAGAATTAATCTCAACTGTAAAATAACTAAGATATCTTATTAACTAATGGGATATTGTCCGAATGTGCACACTTTCGCTTCCACGCGGTGCGGGATGATTGATTAATATTTAGGCTGACCTTTGGAAAATACATACTCATTAACCTTCAGACAACAGGACCAGAAGGGACGTTTTTTATATTTCCGCCAGGGGTAGACCATAATTAATTGACTCAGATTCGACGTTATGGTACCGAATGTAAGTTAAACTACATATGCGAGCTAAGCCCCGATTGTACAAACTAGCTATGTTACGACACGTGTACGCTCAGCTGCGATCCTTATATAAATTATTCGATCTAAAAGCCGTGCAATTTATTGTAGCACACTGATTAAACCAACATTTATACCGCCATGAATACAACTCGTATTGTCTTGTCTGGGGATTGTAGAACGAAATCCAAGGACCCTGAGGAGGACAGTATGACACGAGCTAAGACTATGAGTCCCCCGCCTAAGGACATTCAATATGGAATTCTTGAACTTGAACAAAAAAAGACAGGAGCTGATGATTTGCGGAAGCAAAGCTGCCACAGCGCTTCCGATTCCGGCAACTCCAGTTGTACCCTTGGCCAGAAGAGTGGGCCCACATCACCGGAGACGCCTCACATCCCCACGGAAAACGCTC